ACCATGTGACTTTCTGGTAGCCATTGGTCTAATTCTTTGCTCGGGTATCCCTTCCATCGAACCAGTATTTCTTTTTACCCGTAGTCTTATTGACCCTTCTCTTTAACACTTTTTCTACTTCGTGACGCCTCTGGCTCCGACACGACTTGTAACTCATCCCGGTAAAATGTTCCTTTATAGCGTTTCTATTGTAGTCGCGTATTTTATAGACAGTCGGTTTCCTATATCTAACTTTGTTGACCACGTAAAATATTTCCCTGGTCCAATTGGCCTCGTAACCTTTAACAAAATTCCTTTACTCGTCGAAATTCTGACTGGTGTTTGCGACAATAAGTATTTCTCACGTTTTGGGGAATCTTTTGACTGCGTTTGCTGCCTCGCGCGTGTGGTTCCATACCGCTATCTCGTCGAGAATAGTTATCACGTCGCTAGGCTTACGTCCTATGGATGTGTGGTATGCGTTATTGTAGGCTTTCAATATTTTAGCCAATACCCGACATACCGAGGTTGCGACACAGTGTTGAAGTATCTCCACATGCGGGTCTTTAGAGTTCTCTGAAATCTTTCCACGACGGAACATTTCACGTCATCGTTCTGACTAGTATAAAACATTTCCCAGAACGTTCCTAATATGATGCTTAAAACAACTGTTGACAAATTCGCTACCTTTATCGGTCATTAAGCTATGGAAAAGACGAGGCTTAGCACGGTTCAGAATTCTTTTGAAACCGTCGGTCACCGTTTTAGCCTTTTATCCTTGAGCGGTTCGACAAACGGCGTATCTACTGAACACGTCTATAGCGCATAATATAAATTTGTAACCATCGTTGACTTTGCTAATCTGCGACACGTCCGACAAATCAGCCTGCCACAACTGATCCTTTCTACATATGGTAGCGGAATAGGGTGTTCTAGGAAAGCGTTTGGCGGGCGAGGCCTATGTAGACTGTAAGCGGGCTGTCTCTTTAACCAAACCGTCACCTGAGCAGGAGTAGGTTTGACAGAACCCTTTCGCTGCCTAGCCTCCGATAATTTTCTTAAGAGGCCAACCCGTGAATCAAAACCCTCGATACATCATAATACACGCGTTTCAACCATTTCAGCCAGTAAGGCTTAATAGCTTTCCAGCTATTGTCGATAATTGTCGACCCACCGTGTCGCCCTTTCTTTCCCCTCCTCCGGCATTGTCCGAGCTCCAGACTTCCTCATTGCTTCGTTTCTTCTTCCTTCGCGACCTCCTAGGAGTGTTAAGCTCCCCTCGGTGTATAACCTGTTTTAGTAGCGCCAGTGCTCGCGCCAGTGTCTGCCATTCTCGACGACAGGAAAGCAGCTACCTCGTTGTATTTACTACCCCTCTTTTTCGTCAGCTCGTGTAATACGTCCCGCAAGGTCTCCGGTCCCAGAGACGAACCCTTATAGCTCAAAGTTCCTTCGTCCGACACTCCCAAGTCTGGATCGTTTTTAATAAAGTCGGTAATATCTTTAGCATCTCGTCTGTACGTTTTATGTAAATCGGTCAAAACCTTAGAAAGCGTGGCATCTAAACCCGATGTTGTTACTCCCAGCTTAACCACGGGAGCTACAGTCGTTGCTACGCTAAGCGTCGTTTAATGGCTTCTGGGAAAATGTGTATCATCTCGACTCCCGTTTACCCCTTCCACACCGGGCTCTCGACTGTAAATCTAAGGCGTCTTCCAATAGGGCGTTATAGCGCAACATTTTCTCGTGTAGTTTAACCGCACGGATGACGTCCCTATTCGCAACATCCCCTACTGCCGCCGTCGTCGTCATACACAACATTTCTCATTTCATCTAAATTGTCTCTCCTTTCTTTCGTTAAAGAGCATTTCCTTGGAGAGGAGAGTATCTTGCCCGAGACCCTGACCATTAAATCACGAGAGGAATGCACGAGTCGGAATACGGCTGCCTGAGGTAGCACCACCATCTTAGTAAAGGAGGACATCGCGTGGTTATTTGGAGCCTGTAATAGACCCTACCACACTTTCGATATGAGGTTTGTTACGACTGGAGCTAAAAGAGGCAACAACAATGGTAATATACCACCCCTTTGCGCCAATATTTTCCTCTTGCCAGCGTCGCGAAACTCTGTGTCTCTGGCATAGGGTATGAAGAGCTCTTTTCTTGCGATTTAACCCGAGTCTCTGATCATCTGTCATAGGTAAATTGCCGGAATACACATTAACGGCTGTCTCGCTAAAAGCGTCTATGACTTCTTTGGGTAAACAGTTAACGAAGTCGGCGCCTGACAGCGGGTGGGGCCCTACATAAGTAGTGTATAATGTCCGCGTTGGCTTTAACCCTGTTGACCGAATCGCCTTTGGCGACACCTTTTCGCTTACCACCCGGTGTTCTTCTTCCGCGCGCCACAGCGAGGTCGAGTGTAATTTACCGTTAGAGCGGCCGCATATTTTCGATTGAATTTACTCGTGTCAGGGGCAGGGTGTCGCCTCTACTCGAGGGTGTACAATAAAATGGCGACAAAACTCACGATCTTCGTATTTATGGTTATTTATTTCCTTTTCAGAACAATCTTGGGTATTGGTATAGGAGGTATTATCTGACCTCTGCTGTTGTTACTGGCGTCGCACACCACCCTGCGTCGCCGCCGGGGCTTAATGTGACACGTTCTCTGCTGTATACGTCGTCCCTCGGTATCGCTGCTGCTATCGCCGTCGTGCGTTATACAAAGCTACATCGTCCCGACAATGTAGCAACGCTCGCTGTCCCCAAACGAAGAAGAAGAACTTCGTGGTGGTAGACGTCGTCGTTATCGTCTATACTAGTACTAGAGTCATCGCTGTAGTTGTCGTATGGCGTCGAAGAATAGTCGTCGTCATAGGTGCTGCTACTACTATTGCTATCCTGGTCTTCGTCCGTCGTAGGCTTCCCCGACCGTCGTCTGCTCAGTATTTCATTCCCAAACGCAACTCTGAGCGTTATGGCAATCCATTCTATTCACTTTTGCTTAGGTCGGTATACGTCTATTTCTCCGTGTTCTCTGTTAAACTGGTTTCCACGCGCTCTCTAAATTCGTCGGGCGATTCGGTGTTAAATCCAGCAGTATGTAAGTGTCGCGGTTGTGACGTAGCTTGGGCGTAAGCCTCTCTTATAAAGCCCGACTGACCGGAAATATTTGTCTAGCTAAATTCTCTATCTGGCTTCTATCCGAGGGATTCTTGTACACAACAATAATGCGTACAATTTAAACTGATCGTTCTATGGAACGGTGTTCGCGAAAAATATTCTGTTGTAAGTATAGTATGCTGGTCTGTCTGTGATGCGATCTCTTAACGAACCATCTAAGTAACTCTTGCTCGTCCTCCTTTGTCAAATCGCCTGCGCGTAAAATTCGACGACTAGCCAGTTATACTTGGAAGCGTCAACGTAACCTTCTCGTCGTCACTAATCTTTTGCACTGAAATGAATGTCGATACCTCCCCCTGACGCAGGTGGCTTTTATAGCGTCGTATACGGGTTGCGTTTCGCTGTAGACCCATACTATAACGTCTGGTAATTTTTGTAGTAAAGGCCACGGACCATCTATATCGTTTTCTAGCATGTGCTTCACGAAAGTGGTTTTACCCGCACCGCTAGGACCTCCTATTAAGAGTCTGAATATCTTGGGGAATTGGAAATGAATTCTGTCGACTAGACGTTTCTGCCGATCAGCGATAGTCGTCCATGTTTACTCGGGAGGTGGTGACAACGCTATGGGTTTCTCTCTCTCAACGCGACGGTATATAAAGGGGTCTCTCTCTCTCTCTCAACACGACAGTATATAAAAGGGGTAAGAGTGTACGCAGTAGAAGGGAATACGCTTATGCCGTATTTGTGTTGCGTGCGCGTGTATCGCGTTGAAAATGTCGAATACCCCGAAGAGGATTGTCTTTATTTGAAAATGGAAACCACGGCAAGAGACGGAGAAAGAGACTTCGTGTGTATCAAAGCATGCGTGTCTGACGGCCCTAGGGCTATTGGTAGCTATCGCGTGCTGCAGCTGATAGCTTTACCGCTCCACTCATACGGAACAACAACCCGGGTCATTTGGCGGCGGGAACAGGTGTGAATCTAACGGATAACGAAAGTGTATGCAATCAGCTACGCCTTCGACAACAAAACGTGTTTCCGTTTGTTTGAAAGAAAATTTACCCATCGTAGATATCAGGCAATTTATAGCTGGTAAAGAGACAATTTTAGGTATATCTATCTCCACGGAGGAATGGCGTAAATTAACCGCTAACATTGCGGCGTATAAATAATCTTATCAAAGCGTTACCGTGGCGTCTTTGTTAAAAGCAGCGTATTACTGTCTCGGGTTTTCTAGTGTCCGTAGATTTTACTACTGAAATAAGTGTGGGGAGAATGTATAACCACACCCGAAGGCATGACACACTGTTCCCAAAAATTACGACACGCTATTCTAAAAGTGTCACACGTCCTTCCCAATGTACGACTAACTGCTCCAAATGTATGACGTCGTTTCAAAAGTATGACGCGTTGTTCTAATAATTACACACGCTGGCTGTTCCAAAAGTATGACAGACCCCTTCAAAATCGTGTCATTAGCGTGAACCCGTTCCATAGATTTTACTGCTAAAAGTATGGGTAGAACGAATAATCACGCCAAAAGGTATGACATACCGTTCCAAAAGTATGACACGCTATTCCTAAAAGTATCCATCGTCGCACACAATGTACGACTAACTGATCTAAAAAGTATGACGGGGAAAGTTCTAAAAAACCCCTGTGACAACCATGCACCCCTTTTTCCAATCCAGACCTCGACATACCCTGTTGGGGTATCGCGAGAATAACGACAGAAATAGCGGAATATACATTTCCAGCGGAACACGCGATCCGTTCGTTTATTTTTTTAAAACAAAATATATTATTATCATCATCGTTGTTATAATCGACCGCCCGAGAAGGGAGGGCGTGCGCTTGTTCAGACACTAGCATCGGGCCTACTGTACTGCCTATCAGCTCGGCCACGAGCTTCTGCAACTTCGATGTCTCGTTGGTTTCTCCTTCCCTCGGTGCTGTTCGCCGTCCTCGGTGTCGCGCATAGGCGACGGTGATGCTGTAGGGTTCTTCTTCTTCTTCTTCTTCTTCTTCTGCTTCTTCCGATGGTTGCGTCGTCGGCGAGTTTTCTCTTTAATGCGTGGTTGGCTTCTTCGGCGTGGTGGTTCGTGGTTGTCGTCGCCGTGAGTGTGTTTTTTTCGTGGTGGTGTTCGGTGGTGCTGCTGCCGTTGTTGGTCGTGGTCGGGTGGTCTGCGTCGTCGTTGTTGTTGGTGGTGGTGTGGTCTCTTTTGGTCCCCTGAAGTGACAGGCTGGAGGATTGTATACTGAGACGCAGAGCCACCATGACGTGTGACAGGGCGTTCGTCAGGGCGTAGCTTATTTGGAACACGTCGTCGTTCTTACACATATGGTCGTTTGACTGTAGAGACATGACCATAGGTAATGGTGAATGGAGCGAGGTGAGGAAAAGATTATTATACAGCTGGAGGCGAGCTAAGGCTTTTATAGTAGAGAGCGACTGTCTAGCGAGCTATTACCTCTGGGGCGCGGATCGTCGAATCACGAGGCATTGGTTTCAGTAACCGTGAAGGCACGGTATAGGTCAACCTAGAGGTTCACGGGTCGCGAATAATGCGGCGTTGGTCGCGTGCTACCGCCGCTGGAGAAAACAAGCTATATGCTATCGTTGTTTGCAATGTACAAAGCATTCTTTAGGAGAGATGGGTGGTCCTGAAAAGGACCGTTGGGTGGTGTGAGGTGGACTCACAGCTGTAGAGTGCACTGACACTGATGAATTGTCATCCTTAAGCCTGATATGACACTTACTACCGTGCGTCAAACGTCTCATGTATGTGTCCTTCAGGATGGTACTACAATATACGCACTGAAATGTACCATTATAGTCTATAGTCCCGTTTGCATAGACTGGTAGACACCCCGGCATTGACGACACTGCCATGCAGGACACGCTGATGATGATTGGTATGGTGATGGTGGCGATGGTGCTGATGCTTCCACCGACATCAGCTCTAAATCCCAATTCTCTTCGCGTTGGCAGCAGTGACTCCACTCTTGCCCCTTCTGATGCCATTGAGAATAATTCTGCCTCCCAGTCTTCCATCCTATCAGTTGTAACACAGCCCCTGTCCCTCCCCGTCATATAGCAGGGCTCAGCCATTCAAAGGACACAACGTCATCACCTCGTGATCGAGCATGACGTTGTTGAAGTATGACGAGTTAATACAAATTCACCTACGTGTCCTTGTTTGTGACGTCATAAAAGGAGAGAGTCCTCTCAGAGGAGTCATGGCCGTTCGCGAGGTCATGAATTGCATACCGATGTTACAGCTGTCTCTCACACCTCTAGGTTGTGTGTTTCAATACGTACTTTCTTAATCAGTAGCATTCAATCCTTATCTAATTTAAACACATTTCGAAACGTTCGACATTCATGTTGTACGTTTTCTGCAGATGTTATCTACAGTAAAGGGCGGAGAAAGTATAACTCCTACCAAAGGTATGACACAGCGTCCCAAGCGTGGAACAATTCGTTCCAGAAGTATGACAAATCCTCCCAAAAGTGTAACTTAGCCTCGTTACAATTCTCACAGATTTTACTACTAAAATGACGGGAGAATGTATAACCAGCGCAAAAGTATGACACACTGTTCCAAAAGTATGACACCCCTTATAAAAATATGATAAGCTGTTTTCAAAGTATGACACACTGTTCCAAAAGTATGACACACCCTTATAAAATATGATAAGCTGTTTTCAAAGTATGACACTCTGTTCCAAAAGTATGACACACCCTTATAAAAATATTATAAGCTGTTTTCAAAGTATGACCAACCGTATCAGAAGTAGGGTAGACCATTCCAAAAGTATCACCGACCCTTATAAAAATACGATACAGTGTTTTCAAACTATGACACACTACACCTAAGCCGTGTTTACCTGCCTATCTTAGCGTGTCTGATTGCTAGACATGAGGTCAAGATGTTCCACTCCCGATGGTTACACAGCAGTAAAAGTGGTTTATTAAAGTGTCGCATGTTGTGGTTGACACTAGTCGGCTATAGAGAGTTGGACAGTATATAATACAATGTGATCATTTTAGCAGTACTGCTATACACTAATGCAGATGACGGGCAGTTTACCTCTCCATCTAAAATACTGTGCGGGCGAGATTTGCAATGGTTTGGCAATACTACCCCTTTTCTTAAAACCGTCTGTGGTGGCATTGCTTTACGACCGCAGTTGAAAGGATTATCGCGTCAACGCACACCATGGAAGACATCGACAGAGAAATGGTGTATAAGATAGTAGATGTAATTTTCGCGACTTCATGTGAGTTTATTGGGAAAACTGGTGAGACGGCGGCGACGACCGCACGACTGTGTATTAGAGACGATTAGGGCAATTAACCCTGTTGGCGATGTTTGAGAGGCGGTAGGTAAGTCTATGTGAAGGGAAAAATGTGTAGAGACGGCGGTGGACACTCACGACTGTGCATAATAAGGGTCGATTAGAGCAGTTAGGCCAATTAACGATATGCGTGGGGTTATTTTCGAAGGAGAGGGTGTAGAGACGGCGGGGTGGACACTAGCGGTCATGTATAATAGGGGACGATTAGAGCGGCTAGGCCAATTATCGATGTACGTAGGGTTATTTTCGAAGGAGAGGGTGTAGAGAGCGAAGGGGTGGACACTAGCGGTCATGTATAATAGGGGACGATTGGAGCAGTTAGGCCGATTAACGATGTATGTAGGGGTTATTTTGAAGGCTTCGGCACACGCTGGAGTCGAAACGATTAGCGTAATAAGGGGTGGTTAGACCCATCAGCAGGAATATACGATAAACCGAGGACATATGGTGCGTAAGATAATAGAGACGATTTTCGTCTTCCTGCTGCTTGTGTCGGACGTGTATGGTCATGTCTACAACGCGGACAGCTCAATTACCCTTCGGGACCTTTGGGGTGCATATCACTCTCAAACCATACCGTCAACAGCTATCCGTACAGTTTGGACGTAATGAGCCTTTTCTTAAAAACAACTATGGCGGTATAAGTCTCAGAGATACTTTGGTAAAGGTGTGTGGTAATAAAATAGACTGTAGTGGGGTGAAGAGATTAGAATATCCTATACTGTTTATTTGCAACACGGACAGGAAAAGCGAACCGGGTAGATTACACATGCACGACTCGTGCGGTATAGATTACACACGAATATGGCCCGAATTTCACGATTTTGTGGCAAAATACGGTCGTTTAGATTATTATTACTACAAAAGAGTTCGTGTAAAGCCTGTCGTCGGTAGCTTGCGATCACCATTTCAGTAAAAGTAATACGCTTCCATGGTTTCAGATGGCATGATAATACCAAGAAGAGTATACTCAGGAACTTTAAGAGCCATGGATTTTGGACGAGGGAAAAATTAGGTTATTGATAGAGCTGTAGGAATGTTCTCGATTTTTTCCCACGCCGCCGTCTCGAAGCAAACCGATTTTACCAGCCAACCATACAAAGAGGTGTTAAGCCCGGCTTTTAAGCTTACGCAGCTAGGTACCCACGGCGATAACGCCCGTGTTTGATGTAATAGGTATAATTATGTCCAAGACCGAGTTGACCCCTTACCGTCCAATGGCAGGACGAAGCCCTTAGGTCACACCCCTATTCTTTTCGCACGTAACGCTGATGGTGTCGCGAGTATCACGAGCACCGACACGCAGTAGCTAGTTAGAAGCCGTCTGCCCGTGAGTGAGGTTGTATATTTTGAGTGCTCCGTACCATGATGTCCTGCTGCTACGTTCCCGAATCGTATAATGAGCAGAGGGATGGAGAAAGATGTAAACTTTTCTTCAATAAGAAGGAAAAGTATAAGCCATCATCGCACTCTGGAAGCGAAGACACCTTGTCGGTGGGCCGGAAAATATGGTCTCCCAACTGTTTTGTGAGTAGAAATGTAGTTGTGCATATTTACGAATAAAATTTGTGAAATGTTGTTTTTACTAGTGTCTGTTGTGTTTTATATAAAAGTGTTGACGTTGTCTACCTCGTGGGTATATTTTGGGGTGGTTTAAACAACGGGGATACAGTGTTCGTCGCGGTCTAGTATTGTAGAGAGCTTTACATAGACTGTCCGACTCAATATCTTCTTTGTTGTATTTGGTAGAATATAACCGCCCTCCCGTGCTGTATTGTAGAGAGCTTTACATAAACTGGAGGGTGTGTTATTTTTGAGTGTCTTGTTACATTTGTTTTGCTGCCTAGTATTGTAGAGAGCTTTACATTGGCAGTACGACATTTACAGACCTCCTTCAAAATTATTATTCATTCCCGCTTTGGGTTTACGATACGAGGTAAAGAACGTAACACTCGGTACCACTCTTGCTGCTTTGCCGTTTTCTACCTCACATTTTGTTTCATGTAGAATATCGCCGTCTTACCGTCTTGTGACGGAAATGTGCTGCTACCATACTACTAGGTTTTATAATCTTTATATATATTCTATTTCAATGTCAAGTGTTCTCGTCACGATATGGCTGAAATATTGCCGATGTGACGTTAAATAATAACTCACTCACTCACATATGTGAGAGGTCAGTTACGTTTCTGCAAAATAAAGGAAAGAAATGGATTATTAAATGTTTCGATACATACTGTCTGCAAAATTAAGGGGCACATATATTCCAGTAAAACAGAGACTTTGTTATATAGGAAATACACCACCCCTCCCCACCGCGAAAATCAAATAGTCGCGCCCTTGAACCCAACAAATCAGCTGAAGCTATGTGCTGTCGTACAGCCTCGTGAAGTTCAAGCCTGGACTCAAATCACAGGTGTCTGAAACAATGGAGCACTGTGAGACAGTGGAAATCAACTTCGACAAGAAATTGCACACATAATGCATCACCAAATATCTTACTTGTACATGATCATGCATGAATCAGTCCCATGTTTCAAAATCTACAGTATGTATGTGTGTGGCAGTGTCATATTTTATTTATCAGTGTAAATACGGTATCAGGCGAGCTAAGCTTTTCATGATTTTCATAACTTTCTGGGTATATCAGCGTGTGTTTTAATCTATTCTTTTTTCAAACAAATTTTTCAGAGGTTGATGAGCTCAAAAACAGTATTGGAGGTTACTGAGATATGAATACAAGTGTGAGGTGGGAGTGTGAGGTGTGAGGTTATTTTGACAGTGAGATTAGCATTGTATAGAGAACTGCCGCACAGAATGTGGGAAGGTGGGTCGCTAAGCGTTACTTAATCCAGCTAGACAAGTGGTTTTACACATAAGAAAGTGTCACCTTATTCTTTTGTGAAAATACGATCCTGCGTTTAGTACATTTCAAGTTAGTCTGTTTCGTTCACTCATAACGACAGTGAAACCAATGGCTGAAAGAAATATGTACAATTATCGTGCCCACCACGTACCACACAACCACCCACCTTCATCATAACCACCACCACCACCACCACCACCACCACCACCACTACTCCTACTGCTACTGCTGCTACTACTACTATTACTTTAACTGCTACTACTATTACTACCACCACCATGGCTACCAGTACTACTACTGCTGCTGCTGCTACTGCCACTACTACTATTACTACCACCACAACCACTAACACTACTGCTACTACTACTACTGCTACTGCTACTACTGGCACCCATGAAGGGCCACCTCCTCGTGGTGGGTGCTGGGTCACGCTAAGCGCCCTTCACCCCCGTTGTGGACCCGGGGGGATATATGGTCCACCAACCCGTTTGCCGTGGGTTGCGCCCCTGTGTCGGTGGAGGACGGGATTCTGGTGGTTGAGGGCAATAGGAGCCTGGAACCGTGTTCCTGTTGCCCAACACACCACTTTGACCCTTACTTCACCTAGACGGGTGGTAGAACTGGCCCGGTTCTATCAATCGGCTGGTCACGCCAGGCCCTGTGCATAGTGAGTATTATTGCACATATTTCATATATCATTTTGGTCTTGGCTACTCTAAATTTAAATTATTCATGATATTGTATTGCCTAGAGTCCTATGCCAGAAGGCGGTGGCTCATGGGCCAATCTGGCATTACTGACCTCCGGGTTCTAATCGTCTTCAGAAA